CAGCATGGGCGATGCGCATTACAGTTCAGCGCCGCCTCGGCCTCCCGCTCGATGTTGCCTGCCAGGCGGTGGAGGCGGGCAAGAAGGCGCCAAACGGCAAGCCGCACGAAGAACTCGGCGATGCCGCAATGGTCAACCCGCGTGCGAAGCACGCAACACGACACAAATACCTGCTCGCAAACGACTCGTCAAGACCCTTCGCTCGGCGTGGGGCATGCTCATCGAGATGGAGCCGACTGCACACCTCAGTTACAGTAACCCAAAACAACCTGACGTGGCGGCGGCGAACATCGGCAAAGGGCATGTGCGCCTCGTTGGCGACTTGAAACTCACGAGCTCGCTCGCGTGCAAGGGTGGCGATCGGCTCGGCTGGAAGGGGGCTTTTGTCGCCTTCGGCAACACCGAGCGGGCGCTGCTCGACTTAGTGTTAGGGCATGCTGCATGGCCGCGGCCGGAGGGGGGGGGGGAGGGGGGGAGGGAGGCGGAGGATGCAGAGGCGGAGGCGGCGGCGGCGGAAGAGGAGGAGGGGGAGAGTGAGGGGGAGGGGGAGGCGGAGGCGGGGGCACCTGTGACGGCCCCCTACAAGAAGGGCGACTACCGGTTCGCGCGGGAGAAGAATTGCGACCTGCGTTTGCTCGACTTCGAGAAGAATTGCGACCTGCGTTTGCTCGACTTCGAGACGTTCGGCGGCTTCGGGGACGGCGTCCGCAAAATTCTTCGGCAGGCGGCGGACCAGCTGAGTAACAAACTTTCGCACGCTCAGCACCTCGATGAGGTCACATGGACCACCAAGAACTGGCACGGGCTGCAGATGCAGCGCTTGTCTGTCGTCCTCCACACCGCCGTGGCGTGGCAGACGGTGAACGAGCTAGCGTGCGGGGACAGCGGCATTGTGCACGGTGCTAAGTGCATTGCCGCTCTTAACGGAGTCGCTTAGGCGGCTCCGGTGGTGTGCCGGTGATAGTACTAGCACGTGCCAGTTCGCACCTGTGTCGAGCCTGTGTGCTGTGAGAGAGGTTCCATTCTTTAAATTCTTTTTTTCAGTGGCTAGCTCCGGACGATGGCAGCGCGCGAGGAACCGCTTCTCCCCGCCTCGGAGGGCTACGTGGAGTACCCAGCGGCGCGGCGGCAGGCGCTGCCGCGCTGGATCACCGTCGCCGGCGCCGGCATGGGCGTCGCCACGCTCCTCCTCCTCATCTCGGCAGCGTCCCAGCACAGCGCTCCGACGTCTTCTTCGTCGGTCATGCCGTCGGCGGCCGCGGCCGGCGCGGCGTCGGGGGCGGTGCTCTCGGGCGTCCTGGACCTGCCGGCGCAGCAGCAGCCGCAGACGCACCTCCTCGCGGCGCAGTCGGCGCGGGAGGAGCCGGCGGCTGCGCGGAAGAAGGGCGTGCACGCGGTCCGGTTGAGCAAGGTTGAGCGGACGGCGCGGCAGCACGCGCTGGAGCTGAACGACGAGACCTCGCAGGGGCTGTTTGCCCTCGGCGGAGCCACCACCAACCTCATCGCGGCGGATGGCGACGCGGGGACGGCGACAGTTGAGCTGAAGGACTTCCAAGATGCGCAGTACTACGGCGAGATTTCGATTGGCACTCCGCCCCAGACCTTCTCCGTCGTCTTCGACACCGGGTCGGCAAACCTCTGGGTGCCCTCGTCGCGCTGCAAGGGCTTCAACCTCGCGTGCTTCCTCCACCGCCGCTACGCAAGCGACAAGTCGGACACCTTTGTGCGCGACGGCACGCCCTTCGCAATCAAGTACGGGTCCGGCTCGATGTCCGGCTTCATCTCGCACGACAAGATCAGCGTCGGGTCGCTCACTCTCAAGAACGCCTCCTTCGCCGAGGCCGTCACCGAGCCCGGCGCCGCGTTTGTTCTCTCAAAGTTCGACGGCATCCTCGGCCTCGCATACCCGTCGCTCTCGGTCCACTGCCTCACGCCCGCCATACAGCACTGTGAGGAGACGCTGTTCACACCCGCAGCTGTGAGCAGGTCAACGGCCTTACGCCGGTGATGCAGGAGCTGATCAAGCAAGGCCAGCTCGCGGCGCCGCTCTTCTCCTTTTGGATGAGCAAGGACCCGAAGCAGACGCCGGGCGGCATGCTCTTCCTGGGCGGCGTCGACGACTCCTACTACACCGGCGACCTGCACTGCCTCCCCATACCTCCCCATGTCCCCCATATCTCCCCCATATCTCCCCATATCTCCCGCACAGGCGACCTCCACTACCTCCCGATATATCCCGATATCTCCCCATATCTCCCCGTATCTCCCGCACAGGCGACCTCCACTACCTCCCCATCACACGCAAGGGCTACTGGCAGTTCGACCTCGACGCAGTGTCGGTCGGCGGAAGCGACGTCCTCACAAAGGGCTCCGCCATCGCCGACACGGGCACCTCGCTCGTCGTCGGCCACGAGAGGTGTGAACAGCGTCTCTTCACACCTCTGGCTGTGAACAGGCACCTCGCTCATCGTCGGCCCCACCGAGCAGCTGAAGAAGGTGATTGGCAAGCTGGGCCTCGCGGACGCGCAGGCGGGGATGGGCGGGCAGTACTCGATTCCGTGCGACAAGAAGGGGGAGCTGCCCACGCTCTCGTTCACCTTGGGCGGCAAGACCTTTAGCCTCGAGTCGGCTGAGTACGTGCTGGAGATGGAGCTGCTCGGCAAGAAGATGTGCACCCTCGGGCTGATGCCGATGGACGTACCAAAGCCGGCTGGCCCGCTCTGGATCCTCGGCGACGTCTTCCTCTCAAAGTACTTCTCGGTCTACGACTTTGGCAACGACCGCGTCGGCTTCGCCGAGGCGGTGGCGACGGCGCCGTAAGGAGCTGGAGCCTGCCGCCTTCCCGCGCCGCCGGTTCCGCCGGCCGGCAGTGGCGGCAGTGCTCGGCGCGGCGGGCGGACGCTCCTCTTCTCGCGGTGGACGTGTTGTGCGTGTGTGTGCGCGCCGCTGTGGGGGCGTCTCGCCACCGGAGCAGGCGGCGGGCAGGGGGGGCTGTCTGCAGCGTGGTCTCCCTCTCGACCCAGGGGCGTGCCCGAGGCGGCGGCAGTGCTGCGTCGCCGTGCGTGTCGTTGCGTGACTGCCCGTGCACCGTGATGCCGTGACGAGGCGGCATCACGCGGGAGTGTCGATGCGAGCGGAGGTTGCTAGAGGGAGGTTGCCCCGCAGTGGCAAACCTTGCAACCCCGCCTCTTCTTTGCGTGAGTGTGCCGCGCGCGTGCCATACCACTTACCAGCTGTGCCGTGCTTTCATTTATATGTTCTCAGCAACGCTAAGCCACGTTGACGTACTGTATCTTTCGGATACCGTGCGCGGGGCCCGGCCCCAGGCGGCGCGGCCCGAGGGGGCGCCCCGGCGCGGGCCCGCCCGCGGCCGGCGCCGCCCCGCCCCCGCGCCCCGGCCAGGCTCGTGCGTCGTGGTCAAAAAGTCAGAGAGTGGGGTGGCGCTAGTGATCGTGGCGTCGTGCCCGTGATGCGGTGAACTGAAGACTGAAGACCCTCCTCGGTGTTGATAGTTGGGTTCGATCAATGGGTGCCGCCTTTACAAGCTCTGCGCCCTGACGAATGTGCAGATGTGGTTGGACGGTTGGCCCGAGAACGCTCCCAGAGCCGTCGGCGTCGAGCGGCAGACGCAGACACGGTCCCGGCGCACAAGAGAGGCACAGGGCTCACCGCTCTGCGCTTGGAATGGGGGCGCGGTCACCCTTGTGTTCAAGCTCAGCCAGTCCTCCTGTCTTTGCCCAGCCGCGATGTTTTGGCAGGCCAGCGATAGGTCATCCAGCCGGTCAAAAGCATTGCTGTCGTCCTCCTCACGTTTCCTGAGCCAGCGGCGCTGGGTCTCGCGCGGTGACAGGATGTTCTGCATCGATCCCGAGGACATTGAGCTTGGAGTCGAGGCGTAGGAGAGGGAGGAGAGCTCCTCAAAGTCGAAGTCGGACCCGCTGGCCAGCTCGGACGAACCTTGCTTCGGGTCTCGCGCCAAATCCGGCACGGTGACGGCTGAGGCCAGAGCCGACCTCTTCATCATCCCACCCCTTCGTTCGAGTCTGGGAGTTGCTGGCGCCGCCTACGGCTCGTCCACAACCGCAATCAACCCCGCCCAATGGAAAATTCGCCCGGCGGTTTCACAAAACAACTAAACTAAAAAATGGAGTTCCGAGTTCATTTTATATATAAAAATGGATTGATTGGAAACTAAGCAAAAGGCGCTGTTGGTTCCATTGCCATCCGAGAGGGCCTCCACATTTTTCTTCTGTGCACGTATGTATATGACACAGCGCGAACTCCGTAACCGCTGCGGATGGTCGATGCGGACTGCAATCGCTCTGAGAGTGCGCTGGTTGGCGGAAGCGCAATGCTCGACGGGGGCGAGGCCCCCACGGCGGCGACAGAGGCGCCGGCGACAGGAGCGATCGACTTGAATGAATTGCTCCGCTCAGGGCAAAAGCTCCCGCCCAGCGCACGTCCGCCAGAGCCAGCCGGCGCCGACGGCCTGGAGCAGCAGTCTTGGCTGCAGCAGCTGAAGATGTGGGCCGTGGCGCAGAGCCGTCTCGAGGAGACGCCAATGTACCAGATCAAGGAGCAGGCCTTTTCGGAGCAGCTGGAGCGGGAAGCTGAGACGCGCCGGCGCCAGGTCCTCGCCCAGCGCAAGGAGTACCATCGTCCGATGGACTTTCTGCAGCTCGAGAGGCAGGCCAAGCTTGAGGCGGAGGAGCGAAAATGGGAGGCCGCGCCAGAGCCCGCTCGGCCGAAGCCGGGCGCGCCGGTCCGGCTCCCTCCCTGCAATAGCCAGTATCACGTCTCCAAGTTCCAGCTCGCCGCGCGAGAGAGCCACGCGCGCCGGCTGAATGCGGAGGCGAACAAGCGGCAGGAGGCGTGCCGCAGGCGTGAGGCGGCACGCGAGTACGCGACTACGACGGCGGCCATGAGGAGGCAGCCGCCCCTGCGCAAGTCGGCGAGCCGGTTGCAGCCGCCAGCTGCTGGGAAGCGCATCGACTCGATCATAAGCGGTCCCCCCGCATCGAGGAGAGGGCTCTACCCGGCAGTCAGGACATATGCGACGCTGTCTCCGCGCCGGAGGGAGGCGCCGAGCTCGCAACCGCCGTCCCGCGTCGCCCACGAGCAGCAAGTCAAGGCGCTGGCCGCGCGCGCCACGACGCTCAACCAGCGCGTCCGCGATCTTGAGGCGGAGCGGGGCGAGCAGCGGCGGGGCCTGGAGAACAGCGTCATCTCCGATTTCCTGGCCCACGAGACGGACAAGTGGGAGGGGGCGCTGTCGACCCAGCAGGAGGTTGTCGCAGGTTACGCCCAGGCCATTAGGGCCAAGCTCGAGCTCTGGGAGGCGCTAGGCCAAGTACCGTCCAAGGCGCAGCGAGGGAGATGAAAAGTTGTTTTTCAAAGTAGCTTTTTTCTCACACGCCTCGCCGATCTCTGCAAGCGATCCTACCCGTGAGACTGACAGAAGCAACGCCTACTTTAATGCCGTGGGGCTCCTGTCGTTAGAGACGTGGTGACGCGAGGGTCGCACCCCTTGCCCCACCACCTCGTGTGGAGAAGTTTACCTTACCTTACCTTACCTTACCTACTTAGGGAGGGCACGCGAGCGAGCCCCACGCGAGCGAGGAGGAATCGTAGGGCCAGGCGCTCGTCTGTGCGTCGAAGCTGGCGTGGATGAGCGCCTTGTTGCAGTCGCTCAGGGAGTTGTGGCCGCAGAACATGGAGCTCATGGTAGTAACCGCCGACACGTCCCACGCGCTGATGTCCTGGTTGAAGACGGATGCGAAGCAGAACATGCGCTCCATGGTCGTGACTGCAGACACGTTCCACACGCTAATGTCCTGGTTGAAGGAGTAGGCCTGGTAGAACATGGAGTACATGTCCGTGACCGCCGATGTGTCCAGGCCGACCGTCCCAGCGCAAACCATCGTCTCGGGATTGTACTCTATGCCGACACTCGGGCCGTAGTTGGTGTCCTCGCAGTCCGGCACGACTGGTACAGTGACATGCTGCGCTTTGTCGGGCGTTCCGCCACCAGCAGACAGAGTGCCCCAACCTGCCGTTACGAGGTTAGTCCCGACTTCGTGCCACGTGTTGTCGCCAGGCTGGTCGAGGTCGATCAGTGCGTACTCGCTTGGCCGTTGCAGCTTAATGAGGGTGATGTCGTTGTCCATCGTGTCTGCTCAGAGATTATACTGTCAGTAGTGCGCTGCATAATGGTTGCCAACAAATCTATAAAAGGACAAGCCAAACGAGGGGTGGGAGTTCAATCAATCAATCGACAGTTAGCGTCGCGATTTGTTTTTTCTGGTCATCAAGGCTGAAAGCTCTGTGCTTTGTGACTGATCCGTCAATCTTCCTATGCACACACTCCGTCTGGCGAACCGCGCCGCCGCGAGGTCGGTGCGCCACATCAAGCACGGGCAGCTCCTTGGCAGTCGCGCCATCGCCAACACGGCTGCGCGCAGCCTCGGCGTGCACGTGCCAGCGGTGCTGCGCTCGCAGGCCTCCCTTCTCAGCACAGCGAGGTCGGTCGAGCACTCTGACCAGGAGTGGACTGCGAGCGCGGCGAGCCCGCCGTTTGACCCGTCCGACGAGGCCACGGTCCAAGCGTGGACAGAGCGCTTCCTCGACGCCGTGCGTGACGTGCCGGCGGCGACGGACCCGGCTCGGAGCGCGGCGGTGCTGAGGGAGCTCGTCAAGTCGAACCTGCTCTCCTTCACGGACATGCGAGACGCGCCCGAGAAGTTCTTCCTCGCGCACCGCCTCCTCGCCACCGTCGGCCTAGGCGGCTTTGGCGTCCGCTTCACCGTCCAGTTCAACCTGTTCGCAGGCTCGATAGTCGGGCTGGGCGGGCCGGAGCAGGTGGCGAGCCTGCGCGAGATCACCCGAGATTTCACGAGATCACTCGCGATCACCCGAGCAGGTGGCGAGCCTGCGCGACATCCAGGCGGCGGGCCAGCTGGGCTGCTTCCTGCTGACAGAGGCGCAGGCGGGCGTGCTGTCTGGACTGATCGTCGAGACTACCTGCGAGTGGGACGCGGGCTCGCAAGAGGCGCGCCGTAGGTAGACGACCCTCCGCCTGCGCCACCCCTGCCATTCCCCCGCCAACATCGTACATGAAGCGCGCCGGCGGCCGCCTCCTCTGGCATACCTCGACACAGTGGCGGGCATCTCTGCCGCAGAGTCAGACCCCGAGCCCCGCTGTCGCAGTTCGTCCTGCACACGCCGAGCGACAAGGCGGCCAAGAACTGGATCTCTCAGGGCTACACGGCCGAGCGCGGCGTCGTCATCGCAGACTTGGTCGTCGGCGGAGAGAGCCACGGGTCGCACGCCTCCCTCCTCTCGTTGCGACGCCGAGTGAGTGAGAGTACTGAGTGCCGAGTGGGCTCTGGTCAGGCCGCACGCCTTCCTCCTCTCGATGCGCGACGCGGAGGGGCAGCTGCTGCCAGGCATCACCGTCGAGGACATGGGCACAAAGACGGTGGCGAACGACCTCGACAACGCGCGCGTCTGCTTCGACCAGGCCACGCTAACCACCGGCCGCCACGCGGAGCGAGCCGGTCCGCTGGCCAAGCAGCGGAGATGCATTGAGGTAGGTCCGGCTGCCAAAGGAGGCGATGCTAAACAAGTTCGCGGACGTGCGCGAGGACGCGTACGTGCAGACCACCGACGAGCGGATGCGGATCGAGGTCATCGGCCAGCGCCTCCTCACGGGACGGCTCGCGATCGCAGAGGCGTCGCCCTCGCGACCTCGGCTCCATCTCGGCTCCATCCTGGCTCCCTCTCGGCTCTCTCTCGGCTCCATCTCGGCTCTATCTCGGCTCTGTCTCGGCTCTATCCTGGCTCCATCTCGGCTCTATCTCGGCTCCATCTCGGCTCTATCTCGGCTCTATCTCGGCTCCATCTCGGCTCTATCCTGGCTCCATCTCGGCTCTATCCTGGCTCCATCTCGGCTCCATCTCGGCTCTATCTCGGCTCTATCTCGGCTCTATCTCGGCTCCATCTCGGCTCTATCCTGGCTCCATCTCGGCTCTATCCTGGCTCCATCTCGGCTCTATCCTGGCTCCATCTCGGCTCCATCTCGGCTCTATCTCGGCTCTATCTCGGCTCTATCTCGGCTCCATCTCGGCTCACCTCGGCTCACCTCGGCTCCTCTCGGCGCACGGAGCATGCGATCACCGCTGGTGCCCTGCGACCTACCTCCAGGCCGCCCTGGCGAGCTGCCGCGTGCTTCACCTCCGCACCGAGCAGTACGCGCGCGGCAAGGTCTGCAACGGGCTTGCGGGCGAGGTGCGCCTGTCCGAGATGCCGCAGCTGAAGGCGGTCTTCCGCGAGTCCGAGGCGAGGGTAGCCGAGAGGGGAGCGGAGAGGAGCCGAGGTGAGGCCGAGGGGTGGCCGAGATGAGGCCGAGGTGCAGCCGAGGTGGAGCCGAGGTGAGGTCGAGAGGAGCCGAAAGGGCCTGAGAGGAGCCGAGAGGAGCCGAGAGGAGCCGCGAGGAGCCGCGAGGAGCCGAGAGGAGCCGAGAGGAGCCGAGAGGAGAGGAGCCAAGGTGAGCCGAGGACACGTCCCCGACACGTCCCTACAGGCGGCGCTCGCCCAGATGGCAGCCTTCACTGCTGGCGTCGAGCAGCGGCTGAACAGCTGCCTGCGCGCAGGCACCATCCCGGACGCGGATCTCGTCGATGCGATCGCGGTGGCCAACCAGTCCCCGAGATTGCCCGAGAGTATCCGAGATTGCCCGAGCTTGCCGGAGATTCCCCGTCGCCAACGAGCCTCTCCTCGGTCGGGGCCCAGCTGCGCTCATCCCTCGTGCTCCTGCTCCTCCCGGATCTTGGGTAGGTTGGCCAAGGTCCGGGAGATGAGTTAGTTAATGAGCTGGGTAGGTGGCCAAGATCCGTTGCATCGACGTCGCGCTCGAGCGCGCGCACGCGCTGCGCAAGGAGGTCGGCAGCTACGCTCTGATGCACGAGATTTCTCGAGATTGCACGAGATTACCCGAGAGTATCCGAGAGTCTAGGTCGGCAGCAACGCTCTGATGCACGAGATTGCACGAGATTGCACGAGATAACCCGAGGTTGTCCGAGAGTACAGGTCGGCAGCTACGCACTGATGCACGCGACGGGGTTCGAGCTGGTCGACATGCTGCTCTGCTGCAAGTTCGCCGAGGGGGACAGCCGCATCCTGCAGCAGAAGCTCACCCGCGACCGGCTCAAGGCGCTGCAAAAGGGCGGCGCGGCAGCCGCCCTCTCTGGCTTGCTCGGCGAGCACCGCGCCGAGGTGTTCGCCGCGGCGAATCTGGCTCGGAAGCTGCAGCCGGCGAGATTAACCGGGGTTGCCCCCCCTGATTACCCGAGATCACCCGAGATTGCTGAGTTGGCTTGCGGATTGTGTTTAGGCGGGGAGGGACGTCGCCAAGCTCGCCGCCGCCATGGACGAGCACTGGCGCGAGATCTACGACCTCGCCGAGATGATTGCAGAGCGGCACATCCGCACTGGACCGCGCGCCGCGTTTGTCGAGGGCCCTTCTGTGGAGCGGCTGACACCGGCGGCGACCGGCTTCGACGCGGACTGGAAGGGCAAGCTCGGCGCGCCCGTGGCGTGAGGCGGGGGCGGCAGCTGATGATCACTGGTGAGATATATGTGCTGAGATATATAAGATTGTGTGCGCGACGGCGGCGCACGGCCGAGTCTTTTTCTTTTCGAGCTGCGAGCTGTGTGTTCCTGGAAATTACCCTGCGACCCGCCTGGGTATTTTGTCGATTTCCTCGGGGAGAGGGCACCTAGTAGCGTAGGCACTCGTACTCGAGCGTGGTGCTCGTAGGTCGTAGCTGCCTCAGATTTTGCCCCAGACCAGCTCTCAGACTCAGGGAAACTCGCGAGTTTCCAGAATGGAGCACCAAACACCCTTTGTTTTCCCTGGAAATTTCCGGAAACGCAAAGTGCTGGGGACCCTCTGTTTTCCTTTTTGTTTTCCGGAAAACCTCGTTGAGCCCAAACCGTAGTAAAGCTGTACCTCGTGACTACGGCTGTACGTACGGATTTAGTCGAGGACCTCCAGACTCCAGTGATTGTGACGTCTCTCTAGACGCTCACAGCCCGGTGGTCGAGACGTCTGGAGCGCACCACATCACGCGGAAGTGAACGTAATCGTCCCTGGGGCCCTGCCTTTCCTCGCCTCCGAGCGTGCACGTCGCCGCGGCGAGCGCCTCGTCCACCGTCTCGCCGCACGAGATCTCCTCGACGCGCAGCTGGTGCGCCTCGCATGCGGCCGCGAACGCGTCGACGCCCGTGCGGCGCGCATTGTTGAGCACGTACGCCGCGCCGTGCGGGCGGCTCAGCCAGTGCGGCAGCAGCGCCGCCAGCAGCCGTGCGCCTTCGATAGAGTACAGCACTTCGGTGGCGATCACGACATCGCACGGCGCCCACGAGCAATCCCGCGCTGGCTCCGCGGCCGCGGCTGCCGCCTCTGCGGAGGACCGTGGCGAGTCCTCCGCCGGTGGCTGCGCAGCGTCCATGCTCCACTCCACCGGCTTCGTCGGCTGCGACCAGTCGAGCTCCAGCACTCGCAGGCACGCCGGCTCCAAGGGTAGCCGGGCACGATTGCTTGCGACATTGTCGCGTAGCAGGTGCATCACCGTCGCCTCACTGCGAAAGTGACCGCGAAAGTCGCTCAGCCACACGCTCCGTGGGCCACATGCCGCCGCCACGCTGATGCCGAGCAGCCCGCAGCCCGCGCCGAGCTCGACAACGGATTTGTCGCGAAAGACCGCGGCGTTCGCCAGAGCCCACGCGCGGTGGACCCAAGCTCCATGCCAAATACGAGTTCCGGTGTGCTCAAACGTCTCGCGCAACACGACGAGAGGAGACAAATCGCGATCGTGTGCGCGCGTCACCAACCAGTGTGCGTAGCCGCGGACCGCTCGAGCCTCCCACAGTGGCCTCGTGCATCTCCGCCTGCACTCGCCTCGCCGCGATCGCTTGGTCTCTGTCGAGAGGCCCGGCAATCTTTCGATTGGCGAACGGCTCGAGTGGCAGCGCCTCATCGACATCAACATAGCTAGCGACGGCAAGTTCGCTCGTGTTGGTGCCTTCCGGAACCACGATGTCGAGGCGCGACAGCTTCCAGCGGCGCAAGCCGCACGACGGCGCGCCTGACGACTGCGATGAACCACCGTCGGCCATGATTGTTGCCACGTGGCCGGCGCGCGCCCGCTCGCTTCTTGCTCTTGCGTGCGCGCCTTCCGCACACCACAGCAATGTGAGCTTGCCTTTTGCCGCCGCGTGGCCGACGCTGACGCTGACGCCGTGCGCTCCGTGCGCGCGCAGATAGCCAAATATAAACAAACGTAACCAGCAGAGCGTCGGTCAACGAGAATTCTTCTCGAGGTGGATATCCTTTGGCCGCGTTGGGTAGCGAGGAGTGGTGTAACCCGAGCCACGGAGGCGTGTTTTCTGGCGGCCGACCGTCAGTGCACGGAGTTGCCACTTCTCCGACTGCCCCGGCTAGTTCCCGAGGTCGTCGGGTGTGACCCCTTCGTCCCCCGAGACCTAGCGCGGGTGGGTTGGAGGGGGCTCGCCCCGTTCCTCCCCATCGGGCCGCGTGAGCGGCCACGCCTCGCAGATTCGTTTTCGCGCCTGGGTCAGGCGCGCGGGGCATCCCCCGGGTCGCTCGACCAGCGATCCGAAGAGTGGCCGCTATGCGAGGGAAAGAGCGGGGCCCTCGACGCCTCAGTCCGGCCCTCCGAGGGGGGAAGGGAAGTGCGGGGTCCCCACGGGCGCCTCAGTTCGGCCCTCCCGAGGGGGGGAGGGGAGCAAGGGGGTGGGGGGATCGGGGCGGTGGGGAGGGGTCTCGGGTTTCATGTGGCTAAAACTTGCCTTTCGGGGAGGGGCCTCCGTTGGAAGGCGCGCATGCAGCCCTACGTCTTCCCCTCCTCCCCAGAGGCAGCGAGTAGGCAGCGAGAGGAGGTCTCGAGCGCCTATATGAAGGTATGTGAGATGGTGATGGGAATGGGTGGTCGGGCGGGCGGGCGGGCGGGCGGGCGGGCGGGCGGGCGGGCAAGCAAGCGGGGAGCGGCGGGCGGGCGGGGCGGAGCGGGCGGGCAGGGTTATCGGGGGAATCGTGTCCACAATCAGCGGCAGCGGAGCAGCAGCCGCAGCAGCAGCTGCTGCAGCAGCAAGCAGCAGCCAGATTGCTGCCGTTGTCTGCGCCGCGATCCGCCGCCGCGCCGCCGCGCCGCCGCCGCCTGCGCTCGCCGCCGCCTCGTAGACGACTCCTCTCGCGCTCGGAGAGCCGCGCAGCGGGCCGCGAGGTTGTGGTCAGAGAGCAGCAGGGTTGAGATCCACAAAATCGGCTAAATTTGAGGTTGCTCGAGAGAGCCTGGAAATGGTCCCGCGCCGTTGCCCCGGTGCCGGCGCATCACGTCTCAGCCGCGATGGGCCGGTTCCGCCGCGCAGTCGAGCAGCAGGAGCTCGGAGGCAACTTTGTCGACAAACTGGTCGAGCCAAAAATCGGCGAAGAAGCGGCACTGGCGGCACGCCGGGACGATTCCGGACTGATCACATTGTTCGGCACCGCGGCGGCGAGCCGCCGCGAGCCCACAGGAGAGCTGGGCGCCGGGGCACCAGACCGCGCCGCCAGCGAGGCGAGAGCACCAGCCGACCGGCCGTGACATGGCAGTTAGACGGCGGGATTTTTCTTAAGATACAAGCCTCTCTCACAGCACACTGGCACAGAGAAGAATATAGGGTGGATAAAGCGCCTGTTCACGGCATGGAGGGTGAGCCACACCGAACGTACCGAGCGAAGAGCCGAGCGGAAGGAGGACGGGGAAGATGACTCAGAGGAGGACGAACCAGTGGAAATTCAGTTGTCAGATGTCACGATGCATCCGAAGGGGACCCCAGCGCCGGCATCATCCGTAGAGGCACGAGTGTTCGAAGAGAGAGTGGACCTGAGCAACAACATGACTTGGAGGCAAATGATCGGAGTGGGAGTCAGAAATGTGGTCCTTGCGCGAGGGGAGCTCGATAGACTCGAGGGGCCAGGATACGCCGCAAGGAGGACGGAGTTGCGCCGAGAGGCGAAAGAAGCCGCGAGAACAAGGGACCGGCAGGCGGCGGCGTCGCAGGACGAGGCAGAAGAGAACGACGCGACAGAGGGGGAAGTGACAAGGGAGAGAACGACGACAAGGGAGGGATGGGAGAACGGCACGCCGCCACCACACAGGGATTTTAAGGAGAGGAGTGTGGTGCGCTAGCCGTCGCCCACCCTGGGGAGTCTGCCTCTTCGTATCTCTTTTCGCAGTCTCTCGCCGCTTCTCGCCAGTCTGCTGTGAGAGGGGCTTGGATTCGTAGAATTCTTTTCGCAGAGGTGACGACAGCGCCCACCCCCTCTCGCGATCGATCGGCAAGCTGCACCGGCGAGCGATGTGCGGCATCGTCGCCTACCTGGGCCCCAGCACGGCCAAGGACGTGATGCTCGCCGGGCTGGCCCGGCTCGAGTACCGCGGCTACGACTCTGCCGGCGTCGCGTGCGTCGAGGCGGTGCCGCCTGCGGCAGCCTCGGCCAACGGCCCGCCGTCGGTCAAGCGGCGGAGCAGCTCGGGCCCGAGCCACACGATCGGGGTCGTCAAGGCCGCCGGCAAGGTCTCCGTCCTCGCCTCTCGCAGCTCCTCCTCGCTCAACACGGGCACCGTCGGAATCGCGCACACACGCTGGGCGACGCACGGCGCTCCGACGGACGCAAACGCGCACCCGCACACGTCGTCGGATGGCGGGCTGGCGATCGTGCACAACGGGATCGTCGAGAACTTCGTCGCCCTGCGCGAGGAGCTGCAGCGCAAGGGCTACCGCATGGCGTCGGAGACGGACACTGAGCTGATCGCGCACCTGATCTCCGACGTGAGGAAGCAAAAGTGGATGCCGCTGGAGGAGGCGGTGAGGCAGGCTCTCTCGCAGGTGCAGGGCGCGTACGGCATCTGCGTCATCTCCTCCGAGGAGCCGGACCTCCTCGTCGGGGCTCGGAAGGGCTCGCCGCTGCTGCTTCCCACCTTTCTGTCTCTCTGAGGCGCCGCTGACCTCCCTTAGGCTCGGAAGGGCTCGCCGCTGCTGCTTGGCATCGGAGAGGACGAGTACCTGCTCGCCTCGGACGCCTCCGCCGTCATCGAGCGGACGCGGCGCGCCACGCCACCTCAACGGCGCGGAGAGGGGTGGAAGTCGCCGTAGTGACGGTGGGGCTCCGACCAGGCGCGTGACGTACCTCAACGACGGAGAGATGGTTGTGGTGGCGAGGACCCCGTCGGGCGCTTGCACGCAACGAGACCAAGGCGCTCGGCCGCGCATCTTCCCTACCCTTGCCCGAGCCCGAACCCTAGGCGCGTGCACGTACGAGATCAAGACGCTCGAGAACATCAAGCTCTGCCGCGAGGTGAAAGAGCTGCAGCTCAAGCTCGAGGACGACGAAGTAGTGAATTGATTGGTGAATCACATGCCGCGAGGTGGAGGAGCTGCAGCTCAAGCTCGAGGACATCCAGAAGGGGTCCTTCAAGCACTTCATGCTCAAGGAGAGACCCGCGAGACGCCTCCTAGACACGTCCTAGACACTTCCGAGACACTTCCCAGAAGGGCTCCTTCAAGCACTTCATGCTCAAGGAGAGACCCGCGAGACGCCTCCTAGACACGTCCTGGACACTTCCGAGACACTTCCCAGAAGGGGTCCTTCAAGCACTTCATGCTCAAGGAGAGACCCGCGAGACGCCTCCTAGACACGTCCTGGACACTTCCGAGACACTTCCCAGACGGGCTCCTTCAAGCACTTCATGCTCAAGGAGAGACCCGCGAGACGCCTCCTAGACACGTCCTGGACACTTCCGAGACACTTCCCAGAAGGGCTCCTTCAAGCACTTCATGCTCAAGGAGAGACCCGCGAGACGCCTCCTAGACACGTCCTGGACACTTCCGAGACACTTCCCAGAAGGGGTCCTTCACTTACCTGCGAGGGAGAGGAGCCGAAAGCAGCCGACAGCGGCCGACAGGATCACAATGATTGATGACGGATCACTCTCTCGCCTCCGGCCCGAGGTGCTCCTCTCGGCGATATCTCGGCTCATCTCGGCCGCATCTCGCCTCCAGGAGATCTGCGAGCAGCCCGAGGTGCTCGAGAATGCGATGCGCGGCCGCGTGACGAACCGTCACTCTGCAGGCTCGAGAGGTTGCCGAGAGATGGCCGAGAGATGGCCGAGAGTAGCCGAGGCACTCACCAGGCTCGCACTGGGCCCGCGCACTGGCTCGGTGATCGCTCCTCCCCCGACCCTCCTCCTAACTCACCGCCTGTACCTGTGTCGCTCCTCCTAACTCACCGCCTGTGCCTGTACCTGGCGTGGCGCAGGCTCGCGCGAGAGCGGCAGCGGCTGCAACGACGTCCTGCTGGGCGGGGGGGCAAGAGCGCTGGCATGGCGGTGCGAGTGAGGAGGCTGAGGCATGGTTCGCTCCCGTCGGTAGGCGGGCTCTCCAGACGAGAAGAGAAGAGCAGAGAAGAGCAGAGCAGAGAAGAGAAGAGAAGAGCAGAGAAGAGCAGAGCAGAGCAGAGAAGAGAAGAGCAGAGAAGAGAAGAGAAGAGAAGAGAAGAGAAGAGAAGAGAAGAGAAGAGAAGAGAAGAGAAGAGCATCCCGTCGCTAGGGTTCTCGCTAGGCGGCCAAGCTGATTAATGACCAATCAACGAATCAGCCCTTCCTTGACTCTCGTCGCTAGGCGGGCTATCCGAGCACTGGCCGGCGCTGGCGGCGGCGCGTCGCGTCAGCGTGGTCGCGTGCGGCAATAGGCAATTCGTTGATTCGTTGATGAGTCGTTAATTAGGCGCCTCGCATCATCGTGGTCGCGTGCGGCACCTCGCACCACGCTGGCCTGATTGGGGAGTACCTGCTGGAGAATTTGGCGAGATGTAGCCGAGATGTGGCCGAGGTGTAGCCGAGATGTAGCCAACGAGATAAAGCCGGGCTACAGCCGAGATGTAGCCAACGAGATAATGCGGCGGGGAGTGTTTGCTCGAGGATTCGGAGGGGATAGCGAGGTCGGGCGGCTGACCAGGCGACGAGTTCGGCGACGGCAAGGCTGGGCGAGGATGCCGTGCGATTGATCATTAGTGACTAGTCATTAGTATTACTGGCACCACCAGGCGAGGATGCCGTGCGATTGATCATTAGTGATTAGTCATTAGTACTACTGGCACCACCAGGCGAGGATGCCGTGCGATTGATCATTAGTGACTAGTCATTAGTATTACTGGCACCACCAGGCGAGGATGCCGTGCGATTGATCATTAGTGATTAGTCATTAGTATTACTGGCACCACCAGGCGAGGATGCCGTGCGATTGATCATTAGTGATTAGTCATTAGTATTACTGGCACCACCAGGCGAGGATGCCGTGCGATTGATCATTAGTGATTAGTCATTAGTATTACTGGCACCACCAGGCGAGGATGCCGTGCGATTGACCATTAGTGATTAGTCATTAGTATTACTGGCACCACCAGGCGAGGATGCCGTGCGATTGGTCATTAGTGATTAGTCATTAGTATTACTGGCACCACCAGGCGAGGATGCCGTGCGATTGATCATTAGTGACTAGTCATTAGTACTACTGGCACCACCAGGCGAGGATGCCGTGCGATTGACCATTAGTTTATTATCATTAGTATTACTGGGCACCACCAGGCGAGGATGCCGTGCGATTGATCATTAGTGACTAGTCATTAGTATTACTGGCACCACCAGGCGAGGATGCCGTGCGAGGTCGAGTACGCCTCGGAGTTCCGCTACCGCAACCCGATCCTCTGCCGGGAGGACGTGCTCATCGCAATCTCGCAGTCGGGGGAGACGGCCGAGAGATAGCCGAGAAGCAGCCGAGAGATAGCTGAGAGATCGGGGGAGACGGCCGACACGCGCTCGCGGCGCCGCAGGTCTGGCAAGTCAGCAGTGAGGTCACCGGCCGCCCGTGGAACGCATAGGCCGACACGCTCGCGGCGCTGCAGCTCGCCCGGGCAGCGGGCTGCCTCTGCCTGGGCATGCTAGCCGAGAGACAGCCGAGAGACAGCCGAGAGACAGCCGAGAGACAGCCGAGATATAGATACAGCCGAGACACAGCCGAGATGTAGCCGAGATATAGCCGAGGCACGAGTAGCGCCGCCTCTGCCTAGGCATCTGCAACACCGTCGGCTCGTCGATCGCGCGCGAGACCGACGGCGGCGTCTACCTGCACGCGGGCCCGGAGATTGGGGTCGCGTCGACCAAGGCCCTCTCTGCCCCGGCTGTGTCGCGCGGACGACCTCCGAGTCGGTGCTAATTGTTAGCTGGTGATGCCCCAAAGGCCTTCTCCGCCCAGCTGGTCGCTCTGACTCTGATTGCGCTCAAGCTCGGAAAGGAGCGCGAGACGCTCTCGCCGGAGGAGCTGTCTGCGAACCTCGGCGCGACAGCCCGCAGGTCCGGGCTGGGAGCAGGTATTGCGGGCAGCGGAGGGGGAATCCTTGCGAGCTAGGCGCCATGCTCGCGCTTCCGGACCAGCTGCGGTTTGTGCTGGAGCAGGAGGGGACGGTGTACGAGATGGCAAAGGTCTTAATTAGTTAATTAATAATGATTAGGTGTGTGCTGGAGCAGGAGGGGACGGTGTACGAGATGGCAAAGGTCTTAATTAGTTAATTAATAATGATTAGGTGTGTGCTGGAGCAGAAGGGGACGGTGTACGAGATGGCAAAGGTCTTCAAGTACGCGAGCAATTTCCTCTTCCTCGGGCGCGGGTACCACTACCCGGTGGCGCTGGAGGGCGCGCGCTTGAGCTCAAGGAGATCTCGCCTCTCCCTGATTAATCACCTCATTAATTGATTGATTCATGCGCCAACAAGGCGCGCTCAAGCTCAAGGAGATCTCGTACATCCATGCCGAGGGCTACCCCGCCGCCGAGATGAAGCACGGCCCGATCGCGCTCATCGACCAGTTCATGCCCGTCGTCATCATCGCGCCAACCTCGGACCCGAACTACCGCAAGCTCGTCTCAAACATCGAGGAGGCGAGCGCGCACGGCGGCGGCGGGGCCGTCACCGCATCGTTGATGGACATCGTAATCGGTTCACGATCGCCAAACAGGTGCGCGCGCGGGGCGGCTCCGTCATCGCCATCACCGAGGAGGACAACCACGAGCTCGACGCGCAGTGCGAGTACGTGATGCGCGTCCCCTCCACCGCCGACTTCCTGATGCCGCTCCTCTGCGTCGCGCCGCTGCAGCTGATGGCCTACTACATCGCAGACATGCGCCAGTGCAACGTCGACCAGCCGCGCAACCTCGCGAAGAGCGTCACCGTCGAGTGAGGCGGCGCGGCGCGGTCCGCCGATGGAGACGAGGCTGCTCGGGCAGGCGACCGAGACGAGAGAGGCGCGGTGCTGGAACGCCTCGTCCGGCAGGTGCGTCATGCCCTCGGGCAGCACCGCGTGCCCGCCGGTGACGACGACCTGCCAGCCGCCCACGTCCAAAGTCTCGGAGCCGGGTGATGGGGCTGCTAAGGTAAGGTAAGGTAACGTAAATTTCTCCACACACACAAAGTGGTGGGGCAAGGGGGGGCGACCCTCGCATCTCCACACCCGGACACGCGGGGCCGGGTCGGGGGCACAAGACCATGAAGACGAGCCAAGAGCCCCACCCCCCACGCGCCACGGCATTCAAAGTGCAAGCACTGGCCCGCGGTGCACGTGGGTGAGGCAGCAGCCTGCCCCTCCCTCCCGACAAACCAACTCCCGCACACACGCAATTGCACTCTGGCCATCGAAATGACTCCGAATTTGTTCTCACTGTGTGTGCTAAGACAGAATCTCCGCAGACAGCCAAAACGGGCCGTGCGCCCGTGCCGCGTTATGAGTTATGTGGTGAGTGTCCTCTCAAGCACGGGGCTGCTCGGGCGAGCGTCTCCATATCTCGCGCGAGTGTCACCATGGATCACTCTAATTGCGAGTTTCTTTTTGTTTCTTTTGAGAGCCTGGCAACCTAATCACCTGAGGCGTTGTCCTATCGCGAGTTACTTTTCGTGAATTTTCTGAAGGCACAGGAAGTCGGCCGGCAAGCGCATCTTCGTCCTCACGCTGCGCGGCCCCGATTTCTTCTTTATTTATCGAACGCCTGTAGAGAGTGACGCAGCTCCGGTTGCCGCTGCCTGCCGCCGCCGCATGGCCCGCCGCCGCCGCCTGCCGCCGCCGCCCGCCGCCGCCGCCGCCCGCCGCCGCCGCCTGCCGCAGCCGCCGCCAGCCGCCGCCGCCAGCCGCCGCCGGCCCAGCCGCCTGCCTGGCCTCGCCTCTGCTGCCGCGGAGGCAACGCCCTACGGGCACCCAAGGCCCGACGGGCACAACCAACGCCGAGAGGCACCCCATACCGCCGCGGAGAAGGCTTCCGGCGATGCCGGCCGCTGCTCCAACGCGAGAAAGAACCAAAGCAAATCTGATTGACGCACGCAAGTGCCCCATCTGGCTCAGAGCCGACATGAAGCACGCAAGTGCGAACAAAAGGGTTGCTTTGGCTGGAATCAGCCATTCAACTACGAACCAAGGGCGGCACAACCCGCCGGACCCAAGCCTGTGGCCCGCAATCCCCTGCCTGTGAGCTCAGTGCGGGGCAGTGCGGCGGGGGCCGGGCCCCCCCCTCTAGCCCGGGGCCGACAGCCTGGGCACGCCGTGGCTGTGAGCTCAGCGCGGGAGAGGTCGCGCAACGCGCGTGTCTCAGACACCCAGACACCATCTGGGCCCCTCCCTGCGAAAAGGGCCACGGCGGCGAGGCGCAATGCCTCCCCTCTAGCCCGGGGCCAGCGCTGTCGGGCACGCCATGGGGATTGCGGGCGCAAACGCAGCCGATCGGACTGCCCTGGCGCAACGCGCCGGGCGGTTCGAGCCCCGGGGCTCACCCGGGGAAACCCTCCCCCCCTCCCCCTCCCCGCGTCGGCCCAGCCGCCGCCTCCCGCGCGCGCCTGGCTGCCTGGTGGAGACACACGGGGCTGAGCGCCGCAGCTGCTGTCCTCCTCGAGGCCAAGCAGCTCGGCCTGCCCCCTCCCGCCGGGCTGAGCCACGGCGTTGCCCCATGCGAGAGGCTGGATGGGGCCGGTGATGGGGGCATGGGGCGGAGGGGGAGGTCGTCCGCACAGCGGCCGCGCCCACGGTACGAGCCGCCACCGAGCGGATCGACCAAGGGCCGTGGCTGCAGTGCGGGCGCAGAGCGCCTGAGGGCTCCTGGCGAGGGAGGCGCTATACAAATCTCCCGACGCGCCGACTGGCTACCACCCGCGCCCGCGGCTCTGGTGGTGCGGAAACGCCAGCACATAATTAGTGGTGGGTTTATAGTGACTGTGTGTGTGTGTGTGTGTGTGTGTGTGTGTGTGTGTGTGTGTGTGTGTGTGTGTGTGTGTGTGTGTGTAAGGTAAGGTAAGGTAAGGTAAACGTCTCCACACACACAAAGTGGTGGGGCAAGGGGGGGCGACCCTCGCATCTCCACGCCCGGGACACGGGCAGGAGCCCCACGGCATTCAAAGTGCAAGCACCGGCCCGGTGCCGTGGGTGAGCAACCTGCACCCCACTCCTACTCCTATAACACAACCCCCACAGCGTGGTCGTCTACGTGTTCAGAAACACCAGCGAGGCGAGGGTGAAGGGGTAAGGGGCTGTGTGGGGCTATCTGTGACCATCTAGCCTGGGGGGTAGCAGGAGGGGGGGGCAGAGGGTAAGATATGGGTGAGGCCAGCTACAAGTCGGACGCCCTCCCGTCGTCGGAATAATCCTCGGAGCGGTCAGCGTCCTCGTCGTCGTCCTCGGTCTGCATCGCGTCGCCAGCCGTGAACCTGAACACGGCGTCGGCCGGCGCCGAGGCGCCGGCGGCCGTCATCAGGTGCATGACTATGCGGTCGCGGTATGCCGCATCGATCTCTCCGTGCTCGGCCAGCTCGTTCGCGAGCCAGTCCGAGGCGACGGTCGTCGCCACGGTCCCCTGGGGAACTGTGGCGTACACCTTGCTGGGGCCGCGTCGATACCCGTCGTCCCTCTCCGGGGGCAGCGAGTATTCGACCCCCATTTTGGACCCGGCCTGGCTGCGCGCCTGCGCAGCTGCAGACCGCAGCCCGGCCATCACGTACGACTGGATGTGTGTGTGTGTGTGTGTGTGTGTGTGTGTGTGTGTGTGTGTGTGTGTGTGTGTGTGTGTGTGTGTGTGTGTGTGTGTGTGTGTGTGTGTGTGTGTGTGTGTGTGTGTGCGTGTGCATGCACCATGCTATTTGTTTCGTCAACAAAACGGTTTCGACCACCTCACTCCCCCGCGTCCCCCTCGCCCTCCGACTCCTCCGCGTCGCTGCCGCAACACAGCCCTCCGAGCGGGTCCCACACCGCCGCCACCGGAGGCTCGCTTGTCCTCCTCCTCGCCGCCGCGGGTCCGCCTCCGCCGCCGCCGGCGCCGCCTCCGCCCTCCTCCCCGCCCCCCGCTTTCCGCTTTGCGCCGCCCAGCGCCTCGCTCACGGCCGCAGCGACGGCGGCGCGGCTAGCCTCCGCCTTGGCCCCAACCTCGCTCAGCGAAGCAACCGCCTCGGCTGCGGCGGGCGGCGGCGCGGCGGCGGGCGGCGGGGGCCAGCGGCCGCACGCAGCGATTGTGACGGGCAAGCTCGGTGCGTCGCCAGCCCCTTGCGCCGGCGCGGCTGCCTCTGCGGCGGCGAGGGCTGCGTCGCCGCTCACGAGGCGGCCGAAGCGGACGTGCGACCCGGACAGGTGCGGGCAGGGGGCGAGGGTGATGTAGAACTGGGACGCGTTTGTGTCGGGGCCGGAGTTGGCCATGCAGAGCAAGCCGCGCGAGGCCTGGTCCTTTCGCAGCCCCTCGGGCTCGTCATTGAAGGACGCGCCAAACACGGACGCGTCTCCGCCTGCGATCCTCCCGCCGTGCAGCAGCTGGCCTGGCAGCAGCCGGTGGAAAGCGGTGCCGCGGTAGCAGCAAAAGACGCTCGAGGCGGGTCCGACCTCCCCGCCGCGGCCGTACAGTGCGCCAGGAACGCGGCGGCGCGCGCGGAAGCCTTCGCAGAGGCCGAGGAAGTTTGCGCTCGCCTGGGGCGCCGCTAGGAAGGGTCTAGGAAGGGCCTAGGGAGGGTCTAGGAGAGTCTAGGAAAGGCCGAGGAAGTGTTTTGCGCCTGGGGCGCCGCCGCCTCGTCGAGCTCAAAGACCAGCTCCCCGACCTGAGGACAACACAAAAGCACTCCTGAGGACACGCCAGCGGTGGCTGAGGCGGCGGTGGGAGGGCGCCTTCACCGCCGAGCCGCCAAGATGTGCAGGCCACGTCAGTGGCATGTCGGAGTCATGTCCCGGGTGGGGGTGCGGGGTCGTGCAGAGTCTTCAGAGTGACGCGGGTCGGTGTCAAGCATTCTGCGTCAAGCATCTAGGCTCTCCGACCCTCTCGCGCCCGACCCGGAGGGAGAGGGACGCGTGCGGTGGCGCGTGCGGCGCGAGCGGCCCCGCCGCGGCCGCGTGCGCGCGGGAGGCGGCACATGCGAAGGGCGTGTCACCCGTCGAGTCGGTCGCCGCCGGGTCGGCGCCCGCCTTGAGCAGCTCCTCGACGCACGCCGCGTGGCCGTTGGCTGCGGCGGAGTGTAGAGGCGTCGAGCCGCCGTGGTTGGTTGCACAAGACAGCCCGGCCGCCTCGGGGAGGGAGAGCAGCCAGCGGAGCGCCGCCACGTGGCCACCGGCTGCCAGCCAGTGACACGCGGTGTGGCCAGCGGTGGAGACGCCCGGCGTCTGCGAGCGGCAGAGCGATGCCGCGTCGGAAGACTCGGCGTGCAGACGCTTGAG